GCCCCCGCCGCTCCGGCACTCGGCGCCGCCTCGATGCGTGCCCCGCCGGGCCTTAGACCCCCAGCCGCGCTCGTCAGACACCCGGCGCTCAGGCTCCAACTCTCGGCGCCGCGCTCCCAGCCAGACCCCGCCCCCAGCGTATCCCCGGCAAATGGGTCCCCCACTGGCGCTGGAAACAAGCGTCGCATCGTTGGTTCCGAGGCGCTCTTTTCCTCCCCTCAGCCTTCGAGGGCTGCGTGGAGTAGGCTGCTTGAGTGGGGGTGATTCTTGGCAAGCCTCGTCCAGCTTTCCTTTCCGACTCAAGTCTTCTTAGGATGCGCAGCACTTTTTTTTCACTTATTTATTCCTTCTCAGTGGGTCTGGGCTTGTCAGCCTGAGCAAGTTGGCCTGGGAGTAACTTTGAGTTCTCCTGGGGAACCCAAAGGACTGGTCTTATTTGCTTGAGGAAACTAGTAGCCCGCTGGAAAAATTCATGCAGAGTGAAGTCAGAATGCACAATGGTTAAGAGCCTGGCATCTACAGACAGATTGGATTCGAATGCAACTCCCGCTTCCTTGCAGCGTTTTCTTTAGGCTCCTCCGCAGTGAGAAGATTCCTCCTCTTTCCAGGCTCCATCCATTTGACGCTTGCCTCTGCCCACCCTTGTTCTGTGGGGAAAAGCGGGGAACTGCTGTGTCTTTTTGCCACTTGCTTGTACTGTTGTATTAAGTGTATGAAGGCTTTACTGCTACTTTGGGTTTGGCTCGTTGTCCTAATTGACCATCTCCACACCTGAGTTCACCACACTTACCAGCTGTGTGGGCAAGTTGACCTCTCTGAGCCTTAGTTACCTCATCTGTCAAATGGGAGGATAGATCATTTACCTTGTAAGATTGTGATGAGAATTAAATAAAACCATGTAAGTAAAGCATTGAGTAAATTACCTAAGAGGCATAAAGCTCCCAATAAGGGTTAGCTAGTATGGAACCCACCCAGCGATTCCGCGGGAGAAAGAAATGGTGTTCTCCTTTGGTAAAGATTACAGCCTAGAAAACCCTATGGGGCAGTCTTAGGCTCACATAGGGTCGCTATGAGTCAGAATTGACTCCGTGGCACACGACAACAACCGTATAATCATTATTTAGAAGGGTTTTTTTTTTTTTTTTTTTTAATAACTTTCAGGCATTTAACCCAGTCAAATGAAATTTTACATGAAGTTGGGTCAGTTACTTAGAAAAAATACTAGGTGGTATTAGCATTTCCTACCCTCCTCCTAGGGATCCCTGGTGGCAGAACGCTGGACTGCTAACCGGAAGGTCAGTGGTTCTAACCCACCAGGGGCACATTTCCATGGGAGAAAAATGCCACAGTGGGCCTTCCTAAAGTTTACATCCTCAGAAACCCTATGGGGTAGTTTGGTTATGGTTAAGAAAGGGGGTTCTGGGGTTAGATTGCCTTGGTTCAAAGCTTGGCCCTACCACTGTCTAGCTTGGTGACCTTGGGCAAGTTCCTCAACCCCTCTGTGCTTCGTTTTCTTATCTGTAAAATGGGGGTAATAACAGCTTATACTTCACAGGATGGATGGTGTAAGGATTAAATGAGAAAATTAATGTAAAGTGCTTAAGATAATGTTGGATATATTGTCATGATTAATGGTATTATTATTAGAGTCCCTGGGTAGTGCAAACGGTTAACACTCTCAGCTGCTAACCAAAAGGTTGCTGGTTGATCAACCCAGAGGCACCTCAGAAGAAAAGTCTGCAATCTATTTCTGAAAAACCAGCCATTGAAAACTCTGTGGAGCACAGTTGTATTCTGACACACATGGGGTTGTCAGGAGGCTGAATCAACTTGACACCAACTATTATTATTAGTCGTTGTTGATTAACAAGTCTAAGAGATGCAGACTAGCACCATGGAATAGCATCTTTGCTATTTCTTAGGGTCCATCCCAGAATTAGACAGTTTGTTCCAGTTCCATTTGAGGTCTCTGCATGAAAACAATTCTTGCTTACCTTCTGGACTGCCCAGCTGAACATAATGGCTAAATAGCAGCGACTAGGCTGCCAAGCCAAGTTTCTAGAACCTCAGATAGGCCTGGAGTTTCTCTCTTGTGGCAGGGCTGGCCAGGGGATTTGTCATACCTTACTGAGCATCTTTTATTAATCGTATGTCCTAGTTAAGGTCGTATATTTGACATGAATAATTAATAAAATCACAGAGAGTTTAGCTTTTTCCTACCAAACTCATTTTTAAAAGTACAAAAACAAATAATGAATTTAGTTTGGATTACAAGCCCTTAGTAACTGAATCATGTTGACATTTACCAGATATGTTTGAAATTCATGCATCTTTTATTTCATACCATGCAGCCAGGTCCTGCAAATGTTTTCATGTATTAAAAGCTTTGCTACAAAAGGATTTAATACGGTCAACATATGCACTCAAAAGCACAATGTATTAGTTTTTTCCAGCTCGTTCTGTCCTGTTCTTGCTATCAGCAATCAGATTTCTCTGGACTGGACACAAACCAAGATGATTACTGTAACATCTGACTACTATGGAGTACAGAATCTTTGAATGCTACGTTTCAAAGATCTAAAAATCTTTAGGTAATGACTAACATCTGTGTGATACTTTATCATTTTTCAAAACACGTTCACATGTGTTATTTCATTAGCACCTCACACCTTCCTGTGAAGTCAGCATTGGTATTACACCCACCGGGTAAGAGAGAATCTGAAACTCAGAGATTTACGGAGATCCACAGCACTGGGAGGTCTGACTCACTCTAAATCCCATGCTCTTTCAGGTCACTGAATATTAGCTACAGTTCATATTTCTTGTTTCTAATTTTGTTGCTGAAAATATTGATAAGCCATATCAGTCTGTAATGAGTTAATAAGTATAGTAGAGAAAATATGATAATGGAAGGTTTAACTAAAGGAGCATCATTTTATGAGATTATAGTTGGAATACCAAAACACCAGACCCATTGCCACTGGGTTGATTCCGACGCACAGTAATCCTATAGGATAGAGTAGAACTGCTCCATAGGGTTTTCAAGGAGCAGTTGGTGGATTAGAACTGCCAACCTTTTGGTTAGCAGCTGAGCTCTTAACCACTGTGCCCTCAGGGCTTCCTGGATTATATTAGACAAGAGTAAATTA